GAAGGGGGGAAGGAGACAAAAAAGCGGAGCTTCAGCTTTTTGGGTGGAGTTCTGCTTTAAAGTTACAGCATTATCATGGACAGAGCCCAAGACTAAGCCATCGCAGGACAGCTTACCAAAAAGCAACCGACCTGGAAAATCTGGACAGTTTGCAAGTATACCATTATCAACCCACAAGAGAACGCGCATTGATCTGACCTGTTGCACACTACCTGTCCTTCTCTTTGGGGAGAGGGGAGGTATGAGAAAATGGCCTTCCTCAAACAAGATGTTGTACTAAACCTGTAGTAAATAACAGAACCTTTGCTAAGTGGAAGAGTAGGATTGATATTACAACTGGCAGTGCCTCCACCCAGGACAAGGTCTCTGTGAACTGAGGGGATTGTCTTCCTGGGAAATTAATCAAAAATCTAATCAAAGTAATTGGGAGCAGAAGAACTACTGCAACCCTCAAATAACAATAACCATAAGTGAAATACCGTAGGTGCACACTAGTATGGAAATAATACAAATGTCATATACGTAGGTAGAGATTAATAACAGTACATGCATTCAATTTACAAGAAGGTATTATCAGCAAAGGGCCTGAAAGGAGTCCTGGTAGAATTTGTACACATAGACCCCGCTTCTGATTTGAGTAAAAATACAGCAGCAGTTGCAGCCACCATGTGTGTATAAAACCTTGTGGCTTAGATCTCTGTCTCTCTGTCTTCACATCCTCCTTCTGGGTTTTCAAAGCCCTTCCTTGAAATAGGAAGTGTTAATACATAATTATAATACCACCGTGATATCAGCAGCTAACAGTAGAGAGCAGCCGTTCTCTACACACCTATACTCACAGAGAATTCAATGGCATATTAACCACTTGCCCTCCAGAGAATTTATCCCCCTTTCTTGATCAGGCCATTTTTTGCGTTACAGCGCTGCGTTACTTTACCTGACAATTGCGCAGTCATGCAATGCTGCACCCAAATGAAATTTATGTCCTTTTTTCCCACCAATTGAGCTTTCTTTCGGTGGTATTTGATCGCCTGTGCATTTTTAATTTTTTGCGCTATGAAAAAAAGTCAGACAATTTTGAAAAAAAAAAAAATATTTTTTACTTTTTGCTATTAAACATGTCCAAAAAAAAAATGTTAAATATCAAATTTCGGCCTAAATTTACACTGAAATGTATTCTGCTACATGTCTTTGGTAAAAAAAATCCCAATACGTGTAAATTAATTGGTTTATGTGAAAGTTATAGTGTTTACAAATGCAGTATATGTACTGTAATTTTTTTAAAAAAATGTATTTTTACTAGTAATGGCGGCGATCAGCGACTTATAGCGGGGACTGCAGGACTGCGGCAGACATTCTGACTCTGGGAGGGAACTGACTTGGTGTCACTGACGTCCCTAGTGACACCAATGCAGTGATCAGTGCTAAAAAAAAAGCATTGACACTGTACTAATGGCACTGGGCAGGAAGGGGTTAACATGTGGGTGCGATCAAAGAGTTAACTGTACATAGGGAGTGTTTTACTAGGGGGTTGTGTCAGTGTGCTTCACTGTAATCACACTGCTCTTGATGCACAGCCAAACAGAGCAATGTGCTCGAGCTGACAGGGAGGAGGACTGTTAGTAAACAAAACAGTCCTCCTCCCCATCGGAGATCTTCAGAAATCACCAGAAATCAATGAGTAATTACTAGCCGATACCCGGTGATTGACAGTCGCGGGCCGCCAATGGCGATACGGGTAGGGCGCGTGCATGGCTTGCGTGCGCCCCCTACCAGGAAATGTGAAATCACGTATATATATTTATATACATATATTTTTAAAAAAACTATATTATGTAGATTTTTTTAACATACAAAAAAATTATTTTAACATATATTTTACATATATTTGTAAATGCATTCCAAAAATGTAGATTTGTATTTTTAAAGACATACAGTATATTTGAAATGTATTTTGAAAAATATTTTTCAGATATTTTGTAATAAAAATGCATTTCAACATACAGTATACATATATATGTATATATATATATACAGTTGCAAGAAAAAGTATGTGAACCCCTTGGGATTACGCGGAGTTTTGCATGAATTGGGCATAAAATGTGCTCTGAACGTCATCTAAGTCACAACAATAGAACAACACAGAGAGGAAAAAGTATGTGAACCTTTGGACTTAATAACTGGTTGACCCTCCTTTGGCAGCAATAACCTCAACCAAACGTTTCCTGTAGTTGCAGATCAGACCTGCACAACGATCTGGAGTAATTTTGGACCACTCCTCTTCACAAAACTGTTTCAGTGTAGCAATATTCTTGGGATGTCTGGTGGAAATTGCCCTCTTAAGGTCATGCCACAGCATTTCAATCGGGTTGAGGTCAGGACTCTGACTGGGCCACTCCAGAAGGCGTATTCTGTGCTGTTGCAGCCATTGTTTTGTTGAATTACGTGTATGCTTTGGGTCATTGTCCTGTTGCATGTACTCCATTCTTGTTTAATGTTTTCCTTATTGTAGATGTGTCAACAAAAATGTTAGCATGTGCCAGAGATTTCTGTAGGTCTTTAGCTGACACTCTGGGATTCTTTTTTACTTCATGCAGCATTCTGCGCTGTGCTCTTGCAGTCATTTTTACAGGACGACCACGCCTAGGGAGAGTAACAACAGTGCTAAACTTTCTCCATTTGTAGACAGTCTGTCTTACCGTGGACACATGAACATCAAGGCTTTTGGAGATACTTTTCTAACCCTTTCCAGCTTTATTCAAGTCAACAATTCTTGATCGTAGGTCTTCTGAGAGCTCTTTTCTGCGAGGCATGGTTCACATCAGACAGTGCTTCTTGAAACCAGTAAATCCAAAACAGGTGTGTGTTTTTTAAGGGCAGGACAGCTGTCAGTAACACATCCAATATCATCACACTGAGAAAGTAGTAATTGAGCGCTGGGAACAATAATCAAATATAAAGCTGCTAGCATAAAGGCAACCTTTCAACCCAGTATGGAAATATAAAATAAGTATGCAGCGCTTATATATGTATAATAAAGTGATGGAAAAGATTAATAATTAAATAATGAATAATTAAATAGTGCACAATAACATATGTTAAATATGTTAGATAACTCAGTCCTTATAATAAAGTGATTAAGTGCAGATGTTCCAACAGTCCATGATCAAGAAAACCGTGACTCTTGTGTTGTTGTGAATGTACAAATAATGCACTAACCAGATAGCACATAAATTGCGCATGGAGCAATTAAGACCTGCTCCTGGCGCTCTGGACTTATGATACCAGGCAGATGTCATCAGCAAGTCGGCCACTAGATGTCATCAGTCTAGGTGTATTCTTAGGCATTCCACCCGGGCCATCGTCAGCAGGGGAAAAGGGGAAGTCATATATCTTCCAAATCCTCAGGAACCTTCAAAAACGGGCTCACATGGAAATAATGAGCCCCAAGAAAACTTCTGATAGTGTAGTAGGTCTTTATTGGTCAAAATTCCAGCATAAACAGAGAAATAAAACTTACATCCGGATCTGATAAGTCAACCAATCAGGATGGCCTTGCGGTATATGCACACAGGTCAGGGGCACCTCACTGACGCGTTTCGTGTAAAAACACTCCCTCTGAGAAAGTCATTAAGCTAGGGCCTCACATACTTTTTCCTCCCTGCACTGTGAATGTTTACATGTTATGTGCAATTAAACCATGGCAACATCTAATGTTTGTTTAGTATTATGTTCAGCAGACTGTGTTCTTATATTGTTTGACTTAGATGACGTTAAGCACATTTTATGCCAACATATTCATGCAAAACTCCACGTAATCCCAAGGGGTTCACGTACTTTTTCTTGCAACTGTATATATATATATATTTATTTATTGAAATATATTTTGAAATATATTGAATATGGCCAAAATCGTAGCATTTCAAATATATGTCAATATATTTGGGAAGAATATTTTAAAAATATATTTCAAATATATTTTTCTTTCATATGGGTGTGGTCCGCATGTATTTTTGTTGTGCTTGATTCCCAGCAAGAGGATAGTAGAGATTCAGTTCTTAATCCTGTATCAGGGTCCCGCTAAGGGGTAGCCCTATTCTTGGTGCTACAACTACATCTCCATGTGTCCCAACCAACGATGGGGTCCAATGTGCCCCAAATTAGGGAGGAAGGGACATTCACAGCACAACAATGACTTATGAATAACTAAATATTAACACTTTTTGTGCAAAATAAAAATAACATTTAGGCACCTACCTACACTCCATCCCTGTAAGCATGGTATGTCCCTCTACCATATTAAAGACAAAAGACTAGACAGAGTTTACTTGCAAGTATACAGTACCAGCTCTCAACGATCCAAAAATGTACAATGACATGAGTACAACACCAACAGGTACTACATGGCAAACCTAGATATCTATACAATTTAACCGCTAGCCTACCGGGCACTTATACCCCCTTCCTGCCCAGGCCAATTTCCAGCATTCAGCACTGTCACACTTTGAATGATAATTGCGCGGTCATGCAACACTATACCCATATGAAATTTTTATCATTTTTTTGAGACAGATAGAGCTTTCTTTTGGTGGTATTTAATTACCTCTGGGATTTTTATTTTTTCTTAAACAAACCAAAAACCACTGAAAATTTTGAAAAAAAATGTTTTTTCTTAGTTTTTGTTATACAATTTTGTAAATAAGTGATTTTCTCCTTCACTGATGTGCGCTAATGAGGCTGCAGTGATGGGCACTGATAGGCTGCACTGATGGACACTGATAGGTGGCACTGATGGGCACTGATGAGGAGGCACTGGTAGGTTGCACTGATGGGCATTGACAGGCATCACTGATGGGCACTTGAAAGGCCGCACTGATACATGACACTGATAGGCGACACTGATAGGCGGCACTGACTGGCACTGTTAGGCGGTACTGACTGGCACTGTTAAGCGACACTGACTGGCACTGATAGGCAGCACTGACTGGCACTGATGCGCACTGATAGGTGGCACTAATTGGCAGCACTGAAAGGTGGCACTGACTGGCATTGATGGGTGACATCGAAAGGCAGCTCAGATGGGCACTGATATGTGGCATTGATGTGTACTGGTATGCACTGATATGTGGCATTGATGTGGCACTGATGGGCACTGGCACATGGCACTGATGGGCACTGATGGGCATGTGGCACTGATGAGCACTGACAGGTGGCACTTCTGGGGCCACACTGATCATCAGGGCACACTGATCATCAGTGCCCTGATGATCAGTGTACATGTCCCCTCCACGGAAAGCCGATTACTGGCTCTCCTCTCCTCTCCTCTCGAGCTGTCAGCATGACAGCTCGAGAGGAGAGAAATGACGAAAACCGGCATTTCGTGTTTACATGTGATCAGCTGTGATTGGACACAGCTGATCACATGACCGAGCCGACATCTTCGGCTCTTTCCGTGATTCGCTGTGTCCGAGGGACACAGCACACGGCGATCGCGGCTCTGCACGCTCCCTGAGCCGCGTATGCGCAGTGAGAATGGTAGGACGTCATATGACGTCCTATCAGAACGAAAGAACCACCTTGCGCCATCATTGTACTAAAGGGCGGGTGGGAAGGTGGTTAAATTAAAGCAATGCAACATACTTTGGCACAAATAATACACAATACAGCCAATTTGAAAAAAAAAATTACATCAGGTATAGTATACAGGCAGACTCAGCAATTTCCCAGTATCTGGGTGCTTTCGTGCTATTTAAAAAATAGCAGGGTTAGCAATGGGGTGCACCAGCTCAACGAGGTCAATGCATTTGTGCCTAATATTGATTCTGTATATAGCCCTACAGAACAGAGTGCACAGTTCACATCTGTTTATCTCTGAAAACAGGAAATCTTTTTCAGGAAGAAGACATAGAGTATATAGCAACATAAACACTGCCATCTACTAGTTGATGTAGTTGTTGCACAAAATACTTGAACAATGTATTCCTACACCCCCGCTCTGCAATTGCTCTATATCTTAGTCCCATATCGGATCTCTTTTTTATAAATCTGTTTCTTGTAAGCGGTTTTGTCAAAGCATTTGCAGTCATGTTATTAGTTTCACAATACGTAAGCACAATTACATTTTGTTCAACCAGATCATGAATGTAATAAAGTCTGATGTCAATATGCTTTGTTCTTGCATTGATCTCATTGGTAGCATGTTTGATACATCCTTGATTGTCCTCATATTAGATTGTAGGCTGGGACATTGGCTTCCAACATCTTCAAGCACTTGACATAACCACACAGCTTTTGGACTAGCATAGGCAGTGGCAATGTATTCTGCTTTTGTAAAAGACAAAGCTACTGAAGTCTGCTTCTAGCTGGACCAAGATATAGGTCTGTTTCCTAATTTGAACAAGTAACCACTTCTGGATTTGCAAGTGCTTAAGGCACCTGCTCAATCAGAGTCCACATATCCTACGAGTTTCAAATCACCAAATGCAGCAACTTTAGACTCAAGTCTTCCATTTGTTTGAGATATCTCATGACTCTCTTGGTTGATGTCAAAGTCTCTGTTACGTGGTTCACTCACACATCTCAAACACACATGGCAGCTGCAATGTCTGGACATGTAGTGGTTGTAATATATAGCAATGCCCACACTGTTTGTCTGTACTGATCATTAGTAGGAGGTTTTTAGGTATGCTGTGTTCATGGGAGTACTTGTACTTACTTCAGTCATGCCAAACTGCCAAAGCACTGCCTCAATTTTAGATTTCTAATTTAAACAGGATGCTGTCATCTTCTTTACACTGTCTGCTAATTCCTAGGTAACATGTCACATCCCCAAGAGCTTTAGTCTCAAAATGCTGGTTGAGCACTGCCATCAACTTTGCAACTTCCTCTTCCTTTTTGTGGGCAACAATCAAGTCATCCACATAGAGTAAAATATACATACAATATATTCAAAATCTACACATTTTGAGACTAGACATGGGCCTGCTCTGCTTCGTATGAATCCTTCGTCTAGCAAGACTTTGTTTATTTTTAAATTCCATGCTCGAGCTGATTGCTTGAGTCTGTAAAGAGACTTCTGCAATTTGCACACATCTCCATTTTCCATGTATACTTCTGGCTGTGTCATATATAGCTCTTCTTTGATATCACCATTAAGAAAGGCTGTTGTGATACCATGTAGCTGCAAAACCAATTTCCAAGAAGCCGCCAATGTTAACAGTGTTCTGTAAGTACTTGGTTTTGCAACTGGAACAAAAAGTAGCATCGTGTAAATCCTCACCAAAAATTTTTGTGAGTACCCTTTGGTCACTAACTGTACTTTGTACCTACACACCCTGCCTTCAGAGTCGCCTGTGGCCTAAAAAACCCATTAGCAGCTGATTGCACGCTTACAATGAGGTAGCTGAAAGTGTCCATGTCTAAATGTACTAAGAGATGTCATATTTTCATCAGCGGCGCTTATCCACTATTGTTTCTCATGGGTTAGAAGTTTTTGCATCTCATCCTATGAATCTGGCTTTGGTTTTAATGCTACGCGCGCAACATAGGGCAGACGTTTGGGTGGATGCCTTTATTTCTTCTGGTGGATTTATTGATTGAAGCACTTGTGGCCTGGTTTCTTCTTTTACAATATTTGGATTGTCTGCATTAATTTCTATTTCTGTGTTACTTTGTTGCTTATCTTCATGTGACACGGAATTCCTCAGTTTGAAGCGTTTATGTTAGTTCATGAAATTTTGAATACACTGAAGTTTCATCTGTAAGATATCTGCTTTTGTGATGGCACAACTGCCATCTTGAAAAGTCACTACATTGCTTTGTTTTGTGAGCTTCTTCACTGAAAAAAGATTAGTTTCAAGAGCAGGGACATACAGGACATTTTTCACAGGTATCTTTTTGGTGACATTCTGGGAAATAGGGCAGTTTTTCTGTTTTACTCTGGTCAAGGTGTGTAAAGAAATTTCTGCAATTTGTCATGTGACTCGTAGCTCATGAATCAACACACCATGCCTGCAAAGATGAGGTGCAACTTTTGGATTGAAAAACATATTTATTATCTGAAGAAAAATCAGTTTCTTCAACTTTGCAACTATATCTGGTAAGAAGTTCATTCATAATGCATACTGCTGCTCATCATAAAAAATCAAAAGCACCACATTACCCCGACATTACAATATGTTAGCTTATAAAGGAACAGGTTCTAATTAATTTCCACAAACCAATGTGTAGGGGACAGAACGTATCCAATATAATAATGCAATGTTCTTCCAGACATAAAACGTTCTAACCTTAATGCATGACCAAACCAAATGCATAAAGTCCTCTTGTTCTGACTCACATTTATGGCATGTGGGGGTTTTGCGTTTATGCATAAGAAAAAAATGCTTAGTTGTATAATACATTCTGTGTAAGTATCTCAATTGAGTTTGTCCCTAACAGAGATCACAGTATCAGGATATATCAGGATATACACCTCCTTCCAGTTGTCTGGAGAGAGGTTCGGGGATATCAACCAGGCACCTGTCTTGTACTTTAGTTAGCTGGGCAGAAGGCATGTCTAGTAGTAAGGAGTAGTAACCAAAAATAAGTTGTGTGTGATTAGATGAAGGAAGTGCAGTTTACAATTACTGAAATGTACCTCCTGAAGTCCCAGCTGTGCCTCTGCCGCATGGCATAATTGTAGGTACCTGAAATGCCATCTCTGGGGATATGTAGCTCTCTCTACAAGTGTATAAAAGTTTTAAATATGCCCCCCTTGATATAATTGGATCTAATTGGTGAAGATAGGTTAAACCTTAGATGAAGATGAAGGAAGTGCACGATGAAGGAAGGTGGTACCTGAAGTGCCACCTCTGGGTGATATGTAGCTCTCTCTACAAGTGTATAAAAGTTTTAAATATGCCCCCTTGATATAATTGGTGAAGATAGGTTAAACCTTAGATGAAGATGAAGGAAGTGCACGCTCCAGTTTACAATTACTGAAACGTACCTCCTGAAGTCCCAGCTGTGCCTCTGCCGCATGGCGTAATTGTAGATATCTGAAGTGCCACCTCTGGGGGATATGTAGCTCACTCTGCAAGTGTATAAAAGTTTTAAATATGCCCCCTTGATATAATTGGATATAATTGGGGAAGATAGGTTAAACCTTAGCCCAATGTGGACTATCCGGTAGGTTGTAGAAGTGTGGTTCTAAACTATAACAGCTGGTTGGGGGAACAGAGGTGTTTGGCCTCATCTAAAATATTTAAACAGTGGTTATATATCTTCAGAGAGGCCTCTAGAGTCAACATTCCTATAGTAGTGTTAAGTATTCTTCTATAAATAAGATTACCTAAAGTTTCAAATGAGAAGACCACTGGCTGCATTGCTCATTCAGGAGAAAAGCCACCATTGGATGTAAATCAACTGGGCAGCATAATAATAGATACACAAATTAGGCAATGTTAGACCCCCCAAAGATGGGAAGCTGCAGAGTCTCCAAAGAAAGTCTTCGTATCTTAGGGTGTCAAAGGAAGGTAGTGAGAAGTGAGTCAATTTCCTAGAAATGTACATTTGTATATTTAGACATTTTAATATTGTCCTATCCACATGATAAATATTGCAGGAAATGCATGTTATAAACATATAACGTACTTGATTTGACAGTTGACTAGCTGTTTTATGTTAAAGGAATTTCCAGTGGAAGATGATGTAATGATGTGAGAATGTCCTCGAAATCTACAGCTGGACCATCTAATAACCCCATACCTAAAAAAGACCTGTGGTATGCAACCAAGTTTGTGTATGTTGCTCAGGCGAGAATAAGCTAGATGAAATGAAATTGCCAATCGTGTGTGCCTTTCTGGCCACAAAGTTACCACCATGTAACAGTAGTCAGGGTCCCGCTAGAGGATGTGCAGATATCTTAAAATCATTTGTCTAATCTGCTAAAATTGACAACTATAGCATGTGTTTTTTGAAGTAGGCTTTTTATCTGAATGCACTTTAAAAGTTACATGGTTAGTTTGGCTGAAAAAAGACAAAAGTCCATCTAGTTTACCATAAAAAAAAAAGTTTTAATCCTATACCCACAGTTGATCCAGAGGAAGGCAAAAAATCCAGCAAAGCATGATCTAATTTGCTCCTGCAGGGGAAAAATTCAGCCTGATCCACTGAGAGGGAATCGGATATTCCCTGGATCAACTTTACCTATAAATGTTAGTATCCAGTTATATTCTGAGTATCTAAAAAACAATCCAGGCCTTTTTTTAAAGCAATCTACTGAGCTGGCCAGAACCAACTCTTGAGGGAGTCTATTCCACATTTTCACAGCTCTTACTGTGAAGAAACCTTTCTGTATTTGGAGATTAAATTTCTTTTCCTTCAGACTTAAAAAGTGCCCCCTTGTCCTCTGTGATGACCTTAAGGTGAATAACTCTACACCGAGTTCACTATATGAACCACTGATGTATTTATACATGCTGATCATATCCCCCCTTAATCTCCTCTTCTCAAGAGAGAATACATTAAATTCCTTTAATCTTTCCT